TGTTGTTTATAATCAAAATTTTGTTACATGAGCATTTGTAAAAGTAGTAAAATAACAATGTTTGACAAAGCAGGACAATAGAAACATAGGAACAATTCCTCTTGCTTCCACTCTAACTGATCATGCACAAACACACAAGGGGGACAAAGAGTTGTACCTGCTGGATCATCTTGGAGACCATGAAGGAACTCTGCTGATCAAAGACTTTAGATAGGATCTCTAGACCAGACAGAACCTTATCCACCTCCCTGTTTAGGGGAAAATCCAGAAAATCCAACACTTTAAAATCCTTCTCTAAATAATGTGTTCCTCTATTATTATGTATTATTATATATGGGGCTGCACAATGAACAACAGATGATTAATAGCCACATGATTCAGTTATATTTTGCTACATTTTTGTTTACAGGGTTTTACACGTGTGTCACCAATGACAGGAGGTAGCAGGCAGCCCTTCATGCAGAGAGAGCAATTCCTTATGTTGACAGTATGAGGAGTAAATACTTTATGCATCTATGTGTCTGTGGAATGTGTGTCTGCCTACAGATGTGCTGGTGTGTCCATCTTACCCATTAAGGCGTTTGCAAGAGGCCACTAGTGTCTTGTTGAGGTGAGGCAGGGAGCAGGCTCCCTGTTTGACTGCCTCAAGGTCCAGAGCATAACTGCCTTTCAGGTACTCATGGGAGATGGTGCTCAGGCCATTAGCCGCTGGAGTGCTAAAACACATCCAAATAAACCCCAGTGAGCATTTAGAACCATGTAACCTGCACTGTCAGTTGCATATTCACACTGATACTTGTCTCAGACTTTAAATTTGTTAATCCCACCTGAAGCTTTGTAAGACTCAGTTGTATGATATCAGCATTTGGTATAGTGATTTCTTTCATCTCATCTGTCTCTGTTGTTGACACATTAATTTGACCAAGTGAGACTGCAGACGACCTGCAAACCCTCTACAAACTGGCCAACAAACCAATCTTGTACAGCTAGCAGAGAATTCATATAATAGGCTGTCATAGCTTTGTGGACATCATTTAATTCTAACCTGAACATTTATATAAATTGACTAGTTAAGAAAGGAAAGTTGCTTCCTTGCTTAGTTTTACAGACATACTATGCAGCACCTACTGTGGTGCTCTTTCCATAGGGACAACACTGGTCAGAGAGAATTCACTTGCTTGCAATTTTTTGTTTCTCTGACAGCCCATACACCACTATGGTGGAGTGTGGCCAAATAAAACACTCCTTCTGGTCTTAACCTCTGCAACTACAACAGCAACCTTTGCATCTTTGAGTGTATTTACAGCCCTTTACCATGGTCCTCACTGTGGCTTCCAAGCAGGCTAAGTAAATTCTCCCGTGCTGAGCCTTATTTTAACATGCAAAGTCTGCACACCACCAGAAGACCAATAAAAGTGTAAAAAGTGATTCCTTATTCCATCACTGCCTCTGACCTCTGATGTATTTTTGTGCTCATTTTGCTGCTTTAAGCAAACTGATTTC